CCAAGATATTCTAACTCAGTTTGAGCGAATGTGCATTTCTTATGATTAAACTCTAGGCCGTAAGATCGTAGTCTCTCAACAACCTCAGTCACTGTCTTCAAATGAGTTGCAAAGTTGGGTGATGCTATCAAAATATCATCAATGTAAACAACAAGCAAGCCCTCGGTTATCAAGTCAATTAAAATCCTATTGATAAAGCGCTGAAATATCGCTGGTCCATTTTTTAGACCGAAGGGTAGTCGTTTATATTCGTACTGGCCGTCCGGTGTAACAAATGCGGTATATTTGATTGAGTCTTCATGCATCTTTATTTGGTGAAAACCGCTTTTGAGGTCTATAAGAGTAAAAAACTTCTTATTGCCCAAGTGTTCAATACAATCTTCAGGTAATGGAAGGGGGTGGTTATCACGTACGGTAACTTTATTCAAAGGTCGATAGTCAACACATTTCCTTATTTCCCCGCATTTTTTACGAACCGGTACAATTGCGGAAGCGTACGGCGAGGTGCTAGGGCGTATGACGTCCCTTGCCAATAAATCCTTAATAATTTTACGAATTTCAATACGTTCTTGAAAGGAGAGTCGTCGGGGTCTCCGGTAAATAGGCGTATGGCTTGTGAGTTCAAGCTTCGCACAGTAATCGTCAGGTGTGGAAGGTCTTAGTGTAGTATTATAATAAGCGTCGTGAAGGGAAGAGCGGAATATCGCCCGTCGCTCTCGAGACAGTAATGCACTTACGTTAAAATCTTCATCGGTGTTTGAAGCAGTATCAATAGCACATAATGTATAAAAATATTTACCGATATCTTCACTTGGCACATCAGCGGAGATGGAGGTCAAATCATTGTGGTTATCGGGTCTCCCCACAAATGTTTCATTATGGCAATCATTACTTACTGAAGCATCAGGCCTACGTTCAAAGTTATCAGAAGACCCAAGTATACCAAGTAAATCTAGTGTTTCTCTCAATTTACAATCAACAGTACAACAATTTTTCAAATTGAAAATTTTATTCTTTAAATAACATGGTTTTGTGCTAACCAATTTAATGCCGGCTTTCTGGAAGAGATCGCGGCCGATAATTAAAGGCATAAATATGGAATCATCCGGTACTACAATAAAACTATGTTTAATTAATTTTTCTTTCAGTATAATGAAGCCGGAAGTTGTGCCGAAGGACATCAGTGAAACATTTCCCAAGCCCTTATACTCCGTTTTGAATAATGGTTGCACTTCCAACTTTGATACATTTGAGCGGCGTACAAAACATTTAGGACTACCGGAATCAAGAAGAGAAAAAACACTTTCAAACTTGGCACACTTAAGGTCGGTGTATCCCAAAGCAACACTTACCAGTTGTACCGCATTCATTTCGTCGACGATGACATCGCTCTCTCCTTCGATGAATCCCACACCTCGGTTCACAGCACCA